ATAGCTATGCACTACTGAATTGATAGGCTTCAGCTTTTCAGTCCTATCTCAACAGCTTTGGTGTGTCAGTTTGGTAACTTTAGCAGCCATGCCTGATAGTTGAATGCTAATCTTGGAAAAGTCCTGGTCTCAATGAAGGGGCCAAATAGATTGAGGTTTACGATGTCCTGCTAGAATTAGTAAAACTCACAAGACACAAAAAATGACCTTTATAGCACGGCTAGCCATTGCGCCTGTGAGGTTTTAGACAGTATAGTTGGTGCCAAGTAAGGATAATCTCTGGAAGGTTTGCCATCTATGTGAGTGTCCTACACTGAAGATTACTTCACTCGAATGTCTGGCCTCATTTCTGATAGTGACATTTGAAAGTCCCATTCCCAAGTGAGACGATTACAGGGTGCTCCCCGTTCATTGCAACTTTGTTTAAAATGATCTCATGCCAAAGATCATTTTGTCATGTCCAGGCTCTGAGTGCTCTCACCCAGTTAGCCAGGTACCTACAAACAAAAAGGGCTGATACTTGACTTTAGTTTAAGTAGAAGCAGGTGAACAAATTTGGTTCTCCTTAAGGTACTCAGTGCATCACAGAATGCAAAAATTCCAAGTGGAAACCCTCAGGCCTTCTGCAGTGGCAGATCAGCCAATAAAGGCAGGTCCACCTGGGGGAGAAGAGCGGGGAGCAGTTTGCCCAGGCCCCCTGTTTGAGAGGGCTCCCAAACCGAGTGGCGGAGCAACTTAGTGCACAGGGTCATGATGGAGCAGCAGCAGGGCTTAAATTCAGTTGGAGCTGTCTGGAGCGAAATTCCAGTAAATATTTTTAAACTCTTGGGGCTGACTCTCTGAGTCCCAATGCCTCCCGTGGGGGGCTCCAGGAAGTACTCTTTGAGAATTTAAGTCCTGAGCATCAGCCAAGTCAAACCAGTTCACAATGCCTGGAGCAGAGAGCTGGGCCCAGCCCTACCAGACAGGAGATGCTGCAGGATGAATGCCTCTCCAACCATCACCCTCGCACAACCTGCACTCCAAGTGGTAATTTCTTTGGAAGAATGGAGGCCCTGTGTCAGTTATTGTCACGGGCCCTTCAAAATCTCTATGTGACCCTGAATAGAAGGCAGAGGAACCTGAGGCCAGCAGTAGGTGAGTGTTCATGCCATGGCAGGATGGGGGTGCGAGATGGGCAGAAGTTAGAGTTGAGTCCTGTGGGCTTGCTGGACAGCCAGAGGAAAATGGATGTTTAACCATGGATGGCTGGAATGGGAAATATCACATAGGCATGGATGAGGGAGGGAGGGTAATTTTCAATTGTCTATCAGTACATTCAGTGAATGTCTAGATAAGCATCCAGAATGAAATCAAGGCCAGGATTTCACCTCCACACTTTTGGGTGCTTATTGAAACTAAACCTCACCAGTTCTGATTTTTCATCTTGAGTGACTGCACCAAGAAGGGAAGGGAGCACTATCATGTCTAGTCTCCTCATTTCCAGACTTTTAGATGCTGGTTCTTCTCAGGAATGATTTTTTTCAGTGGCAGAAATGCTGATTTTTTGGTGATGGAATTTCAAATGGGATTTATTATGATTGCTATTTTTATAAACACACACACACTTCTCAGAGTTAGTGTTGGAGCTCTGTCTACGGGATTAGGTATTTGACAAGAGGTTAAAACATCACTTAAATGGAGAACGAAAAAACAAACTCCACTTGCAATTCACTGCAAACATGCTCCTTCAAATTCCATTTAAATATAGCATTAGTGTTGGAAAGTGATTCCACTTAGCCCCCAAAAATGCAGCATAAAAAATATGAATCACACAGGGTCCTGCATGACAATCATTTTTCATCATGACAGTCATTGACCGGGTGTCTAATACTTAGACGACAGCTGTATTTAGGCTGGATATGGAGTAAACATAAATGTTAATTATTTTACTTGAGATGAGAAACCAGATGACATTTTGAGCTGGTATTACTGTAAACAGGAAAACGGTATGAGAGCTTTACAGCTTATAAAAATATCAAAAATACAAATCAGGAGGAGGTTTGCAGATCGCAGAAAGACAAGTGCAACACTGTAATAAAAAGTGAGTGAATGAGACAGAGAGAGAGTGTGTGAAATTATTCATGGGAAGACCGTTTTTGTCTCAGACAATTCAAATTACCCTCTTTATTGGACATGCTTAATGTGCTAGAAGAGACCAGATTTGTCTTGATTATATTGTGCTATAGTAGTTTACCTGGTTCTCTTTGTTTAAAATAATAAAAACCCAAATATCTCAGACACTGAGAACATCAACGCAGTGTAGCAGAACGTGGAATGACCTGATGTACAGATCTCCACCTTCCTCATCATTCAAATCATATCATGCATAGTAATGTGAAGACTTAAACCCTCATTCTCTACACATTTACACACATGCTTAATTTTTTCCCTGTGAGTAATTTCATTAGAGTCAGTGATATTACTCACAATGTGCAAAATCAAGTACATGTTTAAGGGCACGTCTACACAGTGGAGTTATGCATACTGGGGTGGGAGGTGTTTCAAATAGGCACTATACTAAAGCATGCTAGGAAACTTTTAGTGTGCACCAGCAAAGTCTACACAGACCAATTAATGCACAACACGTCAGTGCACTTTAGAAATCACCCCTGCATAGTGCGTGTTGCTGCTCTAGTTAAGGCCTCAGTAGAAAAGACCTGAGTCTTTTCAGGATCAGGACCTGAGATTGTTGACTTACAACTTTTACTGTAGTTAGTGTTGTTCAATTGTGATGCAATGCTTCTATAGCTGAGCTCCAACCTCCTATTCAACTCAAATGACCTCTTTGTTTCGGAACAGAGCACATACATTTTTTAAACATTTTTGTTAAAGCCAGAGACTTTACATGCACGGAAGTTTGCTTTCAGAAGAACAATTAAAATGTGTTTTAACGTAGCTGGGGGCAGGAGTACAAGAGCCTAATATTCATACACTTGATCCTTTATGTAACTTTGTAGATGGCATGAGGGCACATTGCTCCAGTTGTAATCCCCTAATGAATTCTATTTTTCATAGGAATTGAGTTCCCAATCACAATACACATATACAATGTTCTCCTTATGCTTATCAAGTACAAAAAAATTATTTCAGCATACTGTATATGGTATATCAGATTATTTGGAGATGTATTATTATACAATAATTCTATATAAGAAAATAACATTAAGAGAACATTAAGATTGCATGAATACAAGCCAGAAAGTGTCAAAAGTTGGTGTTGCCAAGGCACCCTGACATTCTGCGGTAGATTGTGCTTAAGTGCACAATGTGGAATTATCTCAGGGTTTCACAGTGCCCTGGTCTTAGGGTGACCAGATAGCAAATGTGTAAAATCAGCATAGAGGTGGGGTAATAAGTGCCTATATAAGAAAAAGCCCCAAATATTAGGACTGTCCCTATAAAATTGGGGCATCGGTCACCCTACCTGTTCTCAGCCTTTCTACTTGTTAAAAAACACACAGCGATTGGAGGAGGGTTCCTATTACACTCTGTAAACTGTCTAAGGTTTAAGGCAAAAGACCCAGCTTGTGCATCCACACTAAAATTTTTGCTGCATAGTTAAATCAATTACATGCATCAATACACAATGTAGCATTCCTCAACCACACACATGGGGCCCGATCCAAAGCCCAATGAAGTCAATGGGAGTCTTTCTACTGACTTCCATTGGAAATGGATCAGACAGCCTATGAATTTAAGGAAAAGCTTATACAAAATCTATTGGGCATGTCAAGTGTACAATGTATTAAGGTTCATAACTTGGTCAAATGAGAATAATTTTTATTGGAACACTTAAAGGCATTTGTCATCAATATGGGCCCTTTCTACCACAATTTTCAACCTCTGTTTAAGACTGTTCAAAAAAAAAAAAAGATTGCTTTTTTTTTAATAATGAGGAAAGTAATTTTTTCTCATTCTTCTCATGCTACAAAACCATTTTTTGCTGAAGCATTAAAAAATCCCTAGGGACCAAGCCACAACAATTTCAGTCCAAAAGGTAAAAGTTTGAGATAGCTATAAATGACTGAAAATTGTGAATTAGAATGGAAATCACTAAGAAACTCTGATTATAGCAATTACTGCCTCACCCGCTATAATATGTTAGTGTCAGTAGTTATCCACAGTATTTGTGGATGACCACAATATATTTATTATTTGCTGTACTATTATATTTAATGTTTCAATAACAGCCTCCCCCAACTTTTAAAATGTTCATTTGCAAAACTAATATTTGTTTTGGAGATCAGTAACAGAAGCCTGGCGTGCTTTTTGAACCGTTCACTTCGTATGCCTCCAACCTGAGTGACTGAGAACATGTATGTGACAGTTAAACTTACTGTTCATCTGTGGTGAATACAAAACCTAGTGCTTCATCTTAAATATTAAACACCTTTTTTTAAATATAAAGCCTGAACTATACAAATAAAGCAGAAGAATAAAAGTTGTCACCCTCTAATCTCAACACTATTTTAGCATTACTTTTAAATATATATATATTTCAAAGTGAATTTACATTCATAGCCACAACACAAGTAATTTGATAACAGAATGTATATAACGATACTATGCAAATATTGACTTCTGGTTCTGGCCCAAAGCAAGATTAGTCTTTTCTTGAGAATACACTGGGTCAAATTCATATTAGGTGCAATGGCCAGATCCAAAGGCCATTGAAATCAATGGAAAGTCTCTCAGTGACTTCAGTGAACTTTGTAGGCTTTCTGTGCAGCTGTCTTAATTGACTCCTCACACAGGCTGAATTTGGCCTTTTGGCTTTGACAGATGTAAAGCAGTTCATCCCATGTACCAATGTCCTTAATCACTTGAATACATTTTAACTCCCCCTCCCCCAACTACCCTTGCAAGTTACATCATTACCCCATTAGTTCGAGTAAAGAAACCCAGCTCATGGCTGAGAAAAATAAATGACCAAAATACATATAAACATCTGTACTTACATGTGTCTGGCTTGAGCTGACTGTTGGTGATTCCAAAGTACTGGGGGTTTTCAATGACAGGAATCTTTGTCATTCCAATGATGACAGCATCTGGGCCGCCCTCAGAAGAGGATGGAGTGTTACTCCCATTCGAAATGTGATGGAGGGGACTTGCCGAATCATCATCATTGCTGATAACTGAAGAAGGACCTAGAGTTAGAAACAAAGATTCCCCTGTAACATGACAAATTTTTCCCCTCCCTCGGTCACCTGCTTTGGCTGACCAATCTTAAGCACAACTAGCTAGTAGCCTTCTTTTTGCTAATTGGCGTTTTTGCCTCTGGGACTTTGTATGCATGATGAGGGAGGTGGAGAACATATTTCATATGGGACTTAAAACAAAGGCTTCGTTTGGTGACTCCTTTATATGCACAAGGATCATCGTTCCATAGAGGTAACCTCTAAAGCACTCAGATACTATGACTACGAGTGTGTTATAAGTACCTATATTGGTAGATTACATAGACTTGATAGGACTACATCCAATATAGTAGGAGAAATATCAAAATGCTGTGAACTCTTCTGTTGTTTCCAGCAATAAGTTATAACCTGTATTCATTGCTTGTTTGCATTAGTCCCTACTCAGAACATACAAAAGTAAGGCCTTTAAAAACAAAGCTGAGTGATGTTTTCCCTTGTCATGGCCTTATTGCGAGACAGGATATGTGTGTGAGATGCATTCTCCCTGAGGAGGGAGGTTGTCTGAATTCTTTAGGACTAAGAGGGTTAAGACAACATTCAGAGCCCAGTGGACATGTAGGACCAACTCCTACCCTATGCCTCAGATGCACTGTGGAGTCACTGTGCAAGGGCTGTTCCAACCCAATGGAATATTTCATTCCCCTTGGCAGCCTGTCAGAACCCAGTATGAGAGTGGCCACTTCTGTTTTGTTCTCTTTGCACTTTATTAATTATTATTATTACAATTAAGCCACAGCAACTAGTGAGATAAAAAGTGATAGGATTAATTGTTATGCAAATTGAGCACTTCTCAGGTGGGTTTAAGGGGCTTTGATCTAATATCTCACAGCCTATGCAAGGTCAAAATAAGTAACAAGTAACCCAGGAGCTCTCATGATTTACAGCTTAATTGCTCTCTTCCCTTTAATTCTATGTATGCAACCCAAGCTCAGAAAGAAGATCCAAGTCACTAATAAACCTTGGCAGCATTTTCCCTACTCGTCCCAGTAAAGAGCCAGCGACAAATTCACGTTTTCAAATGGTTTATTTTATGCGATTCTCCTCTTATGACTGGCTCACAGTATCATCATAAAGACATCTTTATCATTCCATGAAATAGCTCATAAGTAGGGGATGGATTTGGAGATCCCATTAGGAATTCCACCTTTAAATAATCTGACATAGCAATTTCGAGGGTTCAGCTGCAGGAACATCCCTGTCTCTCTCCCCCTCCCCCCAATTAAAACCCTGATTCTGGTTTAGCAGTCCATAAAGGAAACCATTTTATTGTTTGAAAAAGTAGTTTTCTCCTAGCCTGAAACACGAGCGGTAATTTTTCAAATGCCTTTCACTTTGCTGGGAAGTCACAGTTGACAACGTTAAGCAATGCATCTAGATCTCTGCAATTTATCAAGTGAAGTATTAATACTGATGCTGTATTTGTCATTACTGAGTTCTCAGATCCTTAGAAGATGAATGCTACTAGCAAAGCTACAAGGATTATGCCTGTTTTTTGGCGAAGATTTTTATATAATGAAGTCCAGAACACAGCAAACAGTTAGGAGAAAACATTCCTTGAGATGGTATATTAGCTACACATATAATGTCACAACATTATTTGATGTGTGTTTGGGTTTGTGTGTGCATCTGTGCTGCTATAAAACATCATGAAAATGTAGAGAAGAACAAGAAAAGCCTTGCTAAAGTTTTCTAGAAAAAAACACTCCTGAGTCTCATGTCTCTGAACATCTCAAGTTGATGTTACCACTAAGCTGGCAGACAAATAAAAAATTTTCTTTTTTTTTATTTTTACTTTTTACTTTTTTATTTTTACTCAAAAATGCAGTCCTTTTTATATTAATGTATCTTTAGTGTGAAGGGCCACATCTATTTTATTAGAACAGCTTGTAAGCTTTCTTAGACATATAACTTAATAGAGGCACTTCTAAGTCCTCTGCAGCCTCTGATTAGCATGAGAAACAAATCCCTTTGTCATTTGTTCATTCCTCGCACGTATACAGGATTGGAAGGAAGGAGTGTACATTACACATCTATAGGAATGTAAGCAGAATAGTGAAAAGGAAGGCAACCTGCTAATCACATCAATTTTGCACTGATCGGGACTATGGCATCCAGTTTTATATGGTAGGCCAGTTTTGAATTATTTTTTAAGCACGTTGCAAGGCATTGTGGTTAAAATGTGGCTGCTTTCTTCGTAAATGAGGTTACTAAACTAAGCCAACTAATTAAACTGATCCTCTGTGTTATGCCAATTAGATTTCAAATCATTTCTGATATATTTGAGCAATACCTAAAATATGAGGGTAAATGCTAGACCACAGTGATGTGTTATGATCTACTTAATTTGTTATTAGTCCACTTAATCAAGGAAACCTTTTTATACATTCAGTACAGGGAACTGACTGTAAATTACAACTCCTAATAAGCGCACTATATTTACTAATTAGAAAAAAGATAAAACAATGGCCTTTGCTTAATTTTAAAATACCCATTTCAGTTTTCTACATATCTGTTATATAATTAAAACATCCACCATCCAAGAGATGGCAAGTTTTTTACATATCAGGAGACAAATAAACTTACACCAATTCAAACATCCACTTCATCAGGGTTTATTCACATTTATCAGTGTGATAAATGTGAATAAACAGGTACACAAACTGTTTTGTTGCTTGCTTATTTGACAGACTAACTGTTTTACATGAAGTTACATTCCATTTCCGCAATGCACTGACTTAATTACATTACAGTCAAAGTCTAGCACTGCAGCTGACACTTCACTGTAGCAGTTTTCATTGTTGCATTTCCAGAATGCAATTTGAATGCGACCACTCCGAGCTGGCAAGAAACTGGAATGGCTCTTTCATGAATCATTTATCCAGAGCACAAATCGAAGGGTAATTTCTTAAACAGTGTCTAAGTACTGTCTCATCCTGATTAAATGGGGTCACCTAAAATTACTTGTCAAAGGCAGAATGAGCAGGGCAACCATTTGCTGACACCTATTATTGATTTTGCTTTCTCAAATCCAACATTGGCTTCGTACAGAAAGAAAATTTTAAACAAAATGTCTCCAATGGAAATGAAATTCATTGGCTGTCAATAGCCACCACTTCAAGGGACAGTTGCAGCTTTTAAGAAAACTCCAAAGAAACAGGGGTTTTCTCCATTCCGAAATGTTCTGCCTAACATCCTCACTGGGTTTTTTTTAAGAATATATTTCTTGTCTTAAGAAGATGGAAGACGGAGCCAGATAAGAAACAGCTGTCTGCTTTGGAGAAAAATGACGAGAAAATATATCTTACAGGACTGAGCCTCTCTCTCTTTATTCATTGTGTATTGTCTGTGCACAAGAGAAAACATGTAGCATGGATGCAAGCACATTACCCATTTGCTATATGCACATAATTTCCAAGATGTAAGCATGTGGGAAGATTTAGGGAAAATAATTCTTTTCTAAGCTGACATTCTGTGTGTGTGTGCGGGGGGTGGGGGGAATGAGCCAGATTGTGACTGCTCCTCATGAGATGCATGAGGGTGGGAGGGTACAAGGAGCTTCTCTGCTCCCTGCTGTGTACCCCACAGAAGGACCAGAGACAATCACATTATCAAAAAGGGGGAGGGGAGGAAGCAGGGCCATAGCTCACAACCACACACTCTGCACTGGGAACATGGGTATAAGGTTGCACCATTCGGTGCAATCCTCTGGTGCCCCTTGGAGCTTCCTGATGCACAATCCCTCTCCAACTTCTCCTTGGGACAGTGCATTTCTGCGCTGTCCCTTATAGTGGCTAGTGCCTTACAGGAACAATTAGGTCCAGACTGGTAATTTTATCCTGATATTTTTTTCTACAGGGTTGTAACTGTATTTTCCTTAGATTTCAAAAAAAATGTTCTTATAGAATTATATTTTAAAGTACTTTAGATATTCTGACCAGGATAAATACTTTCATGATCATACTATAAGAATAAAGAGATTTTTTTCTGCTGCCCCATTGTTGTGAAGCAAAAGAGCGGTAATGGATTTTTAATATGAATTCCACTGGACTCTAGTCACACCATGATTTCTTGGTGTTGGCCTCTGGCTCTTTTCTTGCTCCATTTCTGACTTCCTGTGGTACTTAGCCTCTTGGCTTTGGAGATATGTCTGGCTATTGACTGCCATTGAAGTAATGCATATTACCTTCCCACATGTTAGAAGATGAAAAGAGGTCCAAATTAAATAATAGCCTAAGAGTGACTCAGCTGAGCATGCTCAGACAAGAACACTGATGCTAGCACACAGGAGGGGAGAAGCTCACAGAGGCTGAATTAGAAAAACACTGCAGCAGATAAATCTCAAAGGCAAGAACATATGGTTTTGGTTTACACCTGGCACGGCCTTGCTGAAAGACATTTTCAGGCTTTGGATCAGATGGTCACAAACAATCCCTTATGTTCATCTACTTCCATCCATTGATCTTGGTTAGAAGACAAATGATGTATGATATGTGCACTTAAGGTACGTCTACCCTGCAATTAAGCACCCATCGTTGGCCCAGGTCAGCTGACTTGGGTTTGTGGGGCTGCAGGGCTGTAAAACTACTGTGTGGACATTCAGGCTTGGGCTCCAGCCCGAGCCCGAATGTCTACAGCCCTGCAGTCTGAGCCCCACGAGCCCGAGTCAGCTGACCCAGGCCAGCTGCAGTCATGTCACAGTGTAGATGTACCCTTGTTGTCTGCTGTGCTTCACAATTTAGCAGGGATAACATGTTCAAAGCCTAGTGCTTCTCTATGTCCCACATATGAGCATAACAGAACCCAGTGTTGGTCATTTGGAGTTATATCCCTTTGACTGGTTCCTTACTTCAAAAGATCATTTTGTCTTGACCTCTTTAATATTCACTCTTCGTAGTTCAGTTTGTCTCCTGGCTTCATGCTGGACTGATATAGAATGGCCTACAGAAACA